GTATACTTCACTAGTAGGTCGTTCATGTAGGTGGGTAGTCGTAGTATACTTCACTAGTAGGTCGTTCATGTAGGTGGGTAGTCGTAGAATACTTCACTAGTAGGTCGTTCATGTAGGTGGGTAGTCGTAGTATACTTCACTATTAGGTCGCAGTCGTGAAACAAAAAACTCTCACACCAATGTTACAACCGAACTCTTACTCGCTGACCTTGTAGACAACTATATAATACTCACACCAGTTTGACGACTGTTCCAGTGCTGACTTTATAATTTAGTCACCATAACTAATGAAGGTTCCTATACGTTCATTTTTTGGTCTACAGTAAAACTATTACTTCCTTTAAATTTTGCTGCGGACAGAGACGGGCGAGCTCGTTACTGTAGGTCTTCATGTCATGGTAAGTCAAAATATTACCTGCTATGGACCCACCAGGTAAGATGTGGCCCTGGACAGACTCCATGTACCAGACAAACGTATGATCACTGTGAACCGTCCCAGCTTAACCAGTTATTACCCCCCTCCACTCCAGAAGAATACGGAATATAAAAATGTTTACGCGATTTGTATCAATACTCCACAGACTTCACTATTAAGCGAGCAAATATTATGAATCCAGCAAATGTAGATATAACTTTCTCTCTCATTCCCGCCCCCAGGCTCAGCTTATACGAGATAATTTTGTTTTTTTACTCCATTCACTGACCAGCTGATCTGTAAAGGGATTTCAGTTAAGTGTCAGAAAAAAACACACATTAAGAACTTTTTACCAGAGTTCTGACAAGGTGGAGGATCAGTTCAAATTATGTAAACAAACTGTCGAGTGTAACATCTATAGAGGCTGAGACAAGATGATGATCATCACACCCAAGATGAAGACCCACCAAATATAATTAATTACTTATTTCCTTTTCGGAATGAGTGTATAATGTTGTATATTACACACACTGTAAAGAAATCATTAATTGAAAAAAAATATCAAATAATTCGGACAGTAACGATCTCCTGAAAGAAGAAAATCACCTTCATCAAGTCACCATCGCGTGATAATATGAAGTTTATTATTATTGAGAGAGAAGGTGACCCTGTAGTTTACTATGGGAGAGAAGGTGACCCTGTAGTTTACTGTGGGAGAGAAGGTGACCCTGTAGTTTACTGTGGGAGAGAAGGTGACCCTGTAATTTACTATGGGAGAGAAGGTGACCCTGTAGTTTACTATGGGAGAGAAGGTGACCCTGTAGTTTACTGTGGGAGAAAGGTGACCCTGTAGTTTACTGGGAGAGAAGGTGACCCTGTAGTTTACTATGGGAGAGAAGGTGACCCTGTAGTTTACTGTGGGAGAGAAGGTGACCCTGTAGTTTACTGTGGGAGAGAAGGTGACCCTGTAATTTACTATGGGAGAGAAGGTGACCCTGTAGTTTACTATGGGAGAGAAGGTGACCCTGTAGTTTACTGTGGGAGAGAAGGTGACCCTGTAGTTTACTGTGGAGAGAAGGTGACCCTGTAATTTACTATGGGAGAGAACCCTGTAGTTTACTGGGAGAGAAGGTGGCCCTGTAGTTTACTGTGGGAGAGAAGGTGACCCTGTAGTTTACTATGGGAGAGAAGGTGACCCTGTAGTTTACTGTGGGAGAGAAGGTGACCCTGTAGTTTACTATGGGAGAGAAGGTGACCCTGTAGTTTACTATGGGAGAGAAGGTGACCCTGTAGTTTACTGTGGGAGAGAAGGTGACCCTGTAGTTTACTGTGGGAGAGAAGGTGACCCTGTAGTTTACTGTGGGAGAGAAGGTGACCCTGTAGTTTACTATGGGAGAGAAGGTGACCCTGTAGTTTACTATGGGAGAGAAGGTGGCCCTGTAGTTTACTATGGGAGATAAGGTGACCACTGCTTCCCGTCTTCTAAATTAAATACTATGAAGCTGTCCAGTCTAGGTTAAGGGGTTGATTATGTTTGTTCATTGTCTTACCCCAACAAGATTTCACCCCAATGAGTGACAATGACCTCGAGATTTGAGGTTTGTCTGACATTACATATAGATCTGAAGTATTTGCAGTGAGCATTGGTAAGTTAATGTCTTTCCCATAGTGAATAGTGTCTCATATCACACGTTGTTGGGTTGTATATCACGTGACTCCATAAAATTCTTGAAAAATCTAAACTAAGAAACAAAGGTAGACGTGCCTGGGTGTACAGTACAGTATATGATTGACCAGAGTACAAGATTGTTAAATTAAACGGCTTAGAACGGACGGATGGATGATTATTTGTTTATTATTTGAAAGAAGAAAGAAAAGATGTCTTACGTCAGGTGAAACATAATAATACTGTCTTGTGTTTCAAAATAATCTGCAGCGACAAGTTTTACAGGTATTGACTGGCAGTATCTTTTTAATTTTGTCGCGAATAGAGTTTGATTTACGGTAATATCGTCCACTGGTCAGATATAGGCAATGTATGTAAATATGTGTAACGTCGGAAGTAGACTGTTAAAAAAGAAATGGTAATAAAAAGCCTTAGAGAGAGAGGGAGGGTAAGGGAGAGAAGAGAGAACAATAGGTAAAGGGAGGAAAACGAAGAGACTTAAAGAGACAGGGAAAAGGAAACTAAGTGTACCCCCAGCTGTGAGGTGGTCAGGTGTAGCACAAGGGACACCCACCTGCGTCTCTCCCTTCAGTAAGGACGTTTATCCCCGAACCCAGGACGGTCACCAAGAGGTGTTCGCTCCTTCGCTTTGCTGTAATTAAAAGGAAGAAAAATGATTGTGTTCCCCAGACTGAGTGTTAGTGGGCAGGCGTCTTACCCTCATTTAACGTGGTATTACGAACATTTCTGGGACACTCATTTATTATCTCATTTCCTTCATCCTGTAATTGGATATCCACTTTTACGGTGACGAATTTTTCACTACAGTCTTCCCGTTTTTGAAAATATTTTCCCGAGGCCACACGTACAAAACTTTTGGTATAATTAAACCTGTTTAGTAACAGAAAATTAATTATTACGTGCTTATAAAACTTCCTGGATTATAGTACCTACAGTTTATACACAACTAAGAGATGCGTCTATACAGTGCGTGGTCGTGGATATAACAGTTAATACCACTCTGCCGAAGCTAACAATGGCTAACAGCGGAAAAGAACAAATCTCTTCACGGAAAATTGAACAACTAACATATCTCAAGCGCAACTCTCCTCCACTACTCCATCCCCTACACTAAGCCACACTCTTCACAGGTATTTACAAGCCAACAAGCATCATTATTATTATCGTCATCATCATTATCACCACCTCCTTCGGCACCAACAAGAGTATCAAAACTGTAAACAAGAAAATTGTAAGTGGACACGTCCCAACTATCCACAGTGGATTTGAAGTACAAGTTCCCCGTGCATTCCCTCTACTGTATATCAGACTATATTCCACACTGTAAATATAAATGTGTTGTATGTGGCGTCTATCAACACTGTGGGTCAATATATCATCTCATTATCACTGTCGCTTTAGGAATCGGTAAGAATTAGGACCCTTTATGACAGGGGCCCATTATGACAGGGGTCCATTTTGACAGGGACCCATTATGACAGGGGCCCATTATGACAGGGGCCCCTTATGACAGGGGTCCCTTATGACAGGGGTCCATTTTGACAGGGACCCATTATGACAGGGGCCCATTATGACAGGGGCCCATTATGACAGGAGTCCATTTTGACAGGGACCCATTATGACAGGGGCCCATTATGACAGGTGCCCATTATGACAGGGGCTCATTTTGACAGGGACCCATTATGGCAGGGGCCCATTATGACAGGTGCCCATTATGACAGGGGCTCATTTTGACAGGGGTCTATGATGGCAGGGGCCTATTATGACCGGGGCCTATAATGGCAGGAGTCCATTATGAAAAGGGATCATTATGTCTGGGGCCCATTATAACAGGGGCCCATTATGGCAGGGGCCATTATAACAGGAGCCTATGATGGCAGGGCCTATTATGACAGGAGCCTATTATGGCAGGAGTCCATTATGAAAAGGGATCCTTATGTCTGGGGCCCATTATAACAAGGGCCTATTAAGATAGAAGCCCATTATGACAAAAGCCCATTATGACAGAAGCCCATTATGACAGAAGCCCATTATGACGGGGCTCATTATGACTGGATCCCATTAAGAATGGGCTCTGATCTTAAGTGTTAGGATAAGTTGGCACGTATTAAGTCTGGGTTACCATATAACCTTACAGACCCTGGAGTCACCCGTCCTCTCCCAAGCCTCTAGTTCACTTCACACATATATTAAAAAAAATAACAAAGGCTGAAACGAGTAAAGAAATGGTCGACCAAATTCTTGAGGGTAAATTGATGACAAGAACAGATTAGGTCCCTGTCACTTGTTGAAGAGTTTAGTGAGAATTTTTAAAAGGTTATTTATGTCGGGTAATGGAGCACCTTACCTGGGATAATAGCACATATCAGGTGAACGGCGATGTACCTGCAGTAGCTGAGGACACAGTCAGACATGACAGGAGGTCAGTGGTGTGGATGTTGTAAGTCATACGTAAGAGGAGCAACTCGGCCCTGGACCAACTCTGAGCGAGGTTGTTTTAATATGTACTGTACACACGCTCCTGGACATGCACTCTCGACCGCCTACTAATCAAAGTAAACCGTAAGATTATTACCATACGATTTATTCTGTAGATAGAATATTTTAATAAATTTTCAATGTTCTTACCTTTCTTTTCCTATCATGAAAATTTGTAAAAGCAGCCAGTAAGAATGCTTTTCTTTTTTTTTCAATATATTTACGAGTCGCCCCAAAACTATTTACAAATATTATATTCATGTTAGTTCTCTTCTGCCTGATGCTAACTAAGGAGGAACCTCCAGCTGGAACCTTGTAATGTGTGTGTGTGTGTAGAAGTAAGACGTCTGTTACCTGGTGTTTAATGTGTGTGTTTGTACAGACGTGTTGACTGATGTGAGTTGTTTTTCTTCTTCTCAGGGCGTCCTCGCCGCCGCCAACGCACAGCTCATCGAACGCCCGAGTGAGTATTTACTGTATATATAATAATGTTGTATAATTTCTGGTGGTGTTAGTATATCATAGGTAAATATTGTATAATTCCTGGTGGTGTTAATTGGCATTATTTAAATCTTTGGTGTATGTATCTGGACACCCTGAAGTTCAGAGTTAATAATATAAAATAATTCTTTAGTATCAAACTGCTGTCTGAAACATTAAGATGAATGTATTATGAACACATACTGTAGGTGAACCAGTCCTTAGTCCTTGTTACTCCTATTATTGATTTTGATCTCTCTTGCCTAGTTGTCTGGGTGACGTCTCAGGCACTTTTGGAACTAGGAAGCTGAAATGTTAACTTACAAGTATAATGTACTGCCCCCCACCTCCCCTATTCTGTCTCCGGGGATAGCACAAAGTGAGGGGAAGTGAAGTGTGGGGTAAAGTGTGGGGGTGAAGTGTGGGGTGGAGTGTTGGGGTGAAGTGTAGGGGTGTACTGTGTGGGGTGAAGTGTGGGGTGAAGTGCGGGGTGGAAGTGTCAGGTGAGTGTCAGGTGTGAAGTGTCAGGTGAAGTGTGGGGGTGAAGTGTGGGGGTGAAGTGCAGGGGTTGTGGGGGTGTGAGGGGTGAAGTGTGGGGTGAAGGTGTGGGGTGGTGTCGGGTGTGGGTGTGGGGGTGGGGTGTGGGGTGGAGTGCGGGGGGTGGTGTGGGGGTGATGTGTGGGTGGGTGTCAGGTGGGTGTGCGGGGGTGGTGTGGGGAGTGTGGGGTGTGTGGGGGTGAAGTGCAGGGGGTGAAGTGTGGGGGTGAGTGGGTGAGTGTGGGTGGGTGGGTGGTGTGTGGGGTGAAGTGCGGGGCGTGTGAGGTGTGGGGTGGGTGGAGTGTCAGGGTGAGTGTGTGGGGGTGGTGTGGGGTGTGTGTCAGGGGTGTGTGAAGTGGTGAAGTGTGGGGGAAGTGTGTGTGGGTGTGTGGGGGGGGGTGTGCAGGGTGGGTGTGGGGTGGGGGTGGGGTGTGGTGTGGGGTGGGGGTGTGGGGGTGTGTGGGGTGGGTGTCGGGGTGAAGTGTGGGGGTGAAGTGTGGGGTGGAGTGCAGGGGTGAAGTGTGGGGGTGTGTGTGGGGTGGGTGCAGGAGTGTGGGTGTGTGGGGTGAAGTGGGGTGGGGTGCAGGTGTGGGGGTGGGGGTGGGGTGCGGGGTGTGGGGTGAAGGGTGGTGCAGGGTGAAGTGTGTGGGGGTGGGGTGTGGGGGTGGTGGGGGTGGGTGTGGGGTGTGAAGTGTGGGGGGTGGGGTGTGGGTGGGTCGGGTGGTGTGGGGGTGGTGCAGGGGTGAAGTGTGGGTGGGTGGGGTGTGGAGGGGGTGGGGGTGGTGTGGGGTGAAGTGCAGGGGTGAGTGTGGGTGGGGTGTGTGTGTGGGTGTGGGGTGCAGGTGGAGTGTGGGGTGGGGTGTGGGGTGGGGTGGTGGTGGGGTGTGGGGTGGGGTGTGGGGTGGGTGCTGGGGTGGTGGGGGTGTGGGTGGGGTGTGGGTGGGTGTGGGTGCAGGGGGTGGAGGTGTGGGGGTGGGGTGTGTGGGGGTGGGTGGGGTGATGGTGGGGGTGGGGGTGGTGGGGGTGAAGTGTGGGTGGAGTGTCAGATTGAAGTGGGGTGGAGGTGAAGTGCAGGGGTGAAGTGTGGGGGGGGTGGGGTGGAGTGTCAGGTGAAGTGTGGGGGTGGAAGTGTGAGGGGTGGAGTGCAGGGGGTGGGGTGTGGGGAGTGATGTGTGGGGTGGAGTGTCAGGTGAAGTGTGGGGTGTGTCAGGTGGGGGTGTGGGGTGGAGTGTGGGGGTGGGGTGTGGGTGGGGTGTGGGGTGAAGTGCAGGGGGGTGAAGTGCAGGGGTGGAAAGTGTGGGGTGTGTGGGGTGGGGTGTCAGGGTGGGGTGGGTGGGGTGAGTGTGGGGTGGGGTGTGGGGTGAGTGTGGGGTGGGGTGTGGGGTGTGAGTGGCAGAGAGTGTGGGGTGTGTGGGGTGGTGAAGTGTGGGGTGGAGTGCGGGGGTGAAGTGTGGGGAGTGATGTGTGGGGGTGAAGTGTGGGTATGAAGTGTGGAGGATGAAGTACGGGAGGGTGAAGTGTGGAGGTGAAATGTGGGGGCTGAATTGAAGGGGGTGAGATGTGTGGAGGGGAGTACAGCACAGTGAGGGTCCCACTACTTGTTTCTCTCTAAGTTTCTCTATAGAACTTACCAGTGTAGGTGGAGTCGTCTCAGTGGAAGTTTCTCGGGTCAGCAGTTGTCAGTCAGTCTTTGGGAAATCTTGTATTACTTCCTCAATGGAAAGTTGTGTACTTGTACTTGTTCTTGTTCATTTTTTGTTTTGCTGCTTGTGAAGTTGGCCTTGTTACTTGCGATCTTGGATGTGTGCAACAATGAGATCGCGCACAATGAACTTGGAATCTAGTGACTGCTCAACAATTTTAGATCGCGCAAGGCTTTCTGCACAATCATGGAATAATCTTTTACACGTAAGTATCAATGATAAATTGTCAAAGTCAACGTAGTAGCTTACAAGAGATATATTTGTGATCAGTCCCAAAATGAGAGAAATATATCGGCCATCAAAATGACATAAGGGATATTCAGTTTGTGTGTTCATCAGTAATGATAACGCGTAAAGTATAACAATTTCTTTCTCTTTACCTTGTGCAATCTAAGACAAGTAATAACTTAAGTAAAAATATAGGAATTAATAAATACTCATTTTATGAACTAATTTATGAAAGAAAACAAACCAATCTATAAGTCTCATTTGTTCTTACGTTCAACTGTCTTTATGTGCTATTACTATTACATTGATGTAAGAAATAATACAAGTATACTGTACACGTATATTCATATAAACTGTACAACTGATTATGAACCACCACCATAGACAAAAGGGCATTAAGGTATTGCATTATGGCAATACACATTCTAGGTCTGAGTTAGCTTGTCACTAAACTACATTTTGGTACTGAGGTCCACCAAAAATGTGTCGTTCATGTGTCTCCGGCTGTGGGATTACTGAACGAGTGAAAAATTCATACACAAGAACCAAATTGTCTTATTCCACTTAACACTTGCCAGTCGTTGTTTCGTCCTCATAAAAACTATTGTAAATGTTTTCTGACGCCTTACTTCATCTCAGTATCTAACAATATTTATTTCAGTGTGTGTGTGTGTGTGTGTGTGTGGTCATAACACAATAAAACAGAAGAAAGTAGTAGTAGCCACACCAGTAGGACCATGTCGCGTTCATTGAATTAAACATATACAATAAATAAGTACACACACACACACACACACACACACACACACACACACACACACACACTCACTCACTCACTCACTCTCTCTCGCGCGCACAGATGACGAGGGAGAAAGTGCCATGGAGAAAGTTCCTCCCTCCCGCCCCCGCGCCCTCCCTTACCCCTTCGGCCTGTCTTAATAAAACCTGAGCGTAAAACTAACTTGACTAGTCTGAGACGAGAATAACTATGACACCTGAGCTGAGACACTATCCATTGTCCTAGTGACGTACTGTACACGGGTCTACGTAATGTTTAGTGTGTGTGTGTGTGTGTGTGTGTGTGTGTGTGTGTGTGGTAATACAAAACTACGTTCAGATTGACGTTTAGGAGACCCTTACGCTTTATATTAATTCTTCAGTTTATATTTGAACCATCACCAACACCACCACTACCCCCATAACCACCACCATCACCAACACCACCACTACCCTCATAACCACCACCATCACCAACACCACCATTACCCCCATTAGCACCACCATCACCACTTCCAGCCTCTCGTCATTCATCCACTGGTCTCAGGTAAACATTATACTCTTGTCAGTGTTGGTAGATCACCCAACTCAGCTGTAGAGATAACTTTAAACTGAAGGAAGTGATGTGTGTTGTTTCTCGAGGCTGTTGTTCTCTATGGGAGTTTGTCTTACTGTGGACACCAACACCTGACTACCTTCCGTCAGAGGGGATATATTAGTTCCTTATAATAAGCTCTTTAATAACTGACTGTATGAGTTGGAATAAAGTAAGAAGGACATTGATAAGTATTGTTGTTTATAGTCTTTCCAGTGTACCACTAACGGAACGTTAGTAGAATCCAGTTTCTCTCGCCTGGAGGGAAGGAGGGAGGGAGGGGGCGAGGGACAGGTCATTCATATCCTCGCGCGCGGCACACATCTCCATGTATTAAAATAAAAACGATATGACAGACTCCAAGTTTCTTCTGATCTTCTTACACTGGTATTCGTCCTTAGGTGTCTAACGTACAGATTACCTTGTGCCAGGTTAAAGTGTTGGGACACAAGAGGTGCAACAGACGAGTGTAGCGCTGCCATGTCCCGGGAGAAACTGTGCTTGAGGGCTTTCTACCCCACAAGTTTCACCCGTGTGTGGGGAGTGGGGGGGGGGGTGAACAATGACAGTGAGAGTCTTGATATCACCTGTGTGTTCAGGCTTGCTGGTGTGGCTGGGTCAGGGGTGTCTATATCTGGTACTCAGTCATCTAGTTATTAATTAAAAAGCGATTCATGCTGTTAAGCTGTACAACTGGTTCCAGCTCTGGCACTTTCTCAAAAAAAAAATATTTTTTTTTTTCATATATGTTGTTTTCTTTGTGCTATGAATTATTGGTGTGAAACTTTGGTTCCATAAGTCTGATGGCCCATTTGGGACACATCGGATTCCGTACGCCTCGGTACAAGAGAGGGAACTGTGGGCGGTAGTTCACTTCCACAAATGTAAGGGCTTGGGGGGGGGCCTGAGTGCGAACCTGCATCCCTGAGGTCAAAAAGAAAATACTGTTAGTCGCACCCCTACATGGTAGGTGTCAATAACTGTTATTGCACTAACATATAACATATAACATATGGCAGTCGATGTGCCAACAGAATAAATCCGTCAATATATTTTAAAGAAAAGAAGGACCACTGATGTATTGTACAGTGGAAGTAAACAATTGGTTGTGAACTTTGCTGAATAATCACGAGACAGTGAAAC